CTCCTTCCATCCTGTACTGGGACAGGAATGAGACCACAGACATTGGTTCTAGTTTTGAGTCAAAGAAAAGCACATTTCATAAGAGCTAATAAACAAGGGAAAACAAGGACTATTCCAATCTGTTAAAGCTCCAAACCATCATAGACTGACTTTGCATTTATCATGACCAATGTCTTGTATATCACATTGTGATAATTAAAAAATAAAGAACACAATGCCGGCATTAGCTTTTACTTAACCATTCAAAGAAAATTAAGAAGCTTCTTGTATTATATACCTTAAGCCCAAACAAATGCAATGGTGAACAGCTTTGTTGTATACACACCCACATAGATACACACAAGCATAATGAAACTTCTTCAAAGGTAAGCATGTGTTTAGTTTACTCTTAGAGGAAGTACATCCTGTAGTGGTTTCCTCTTATAGCAGTAGCAATAGCACTTAAGACTTATATACCACTTCACAGGGCTTTGCCGCCCTCTCTAAACGATTTACAGAATCAGCATATTGCCCCCAACAATCTGGGTCCTCATCAGTGGTGGGTTTCAAATTTTTTTACTACCGGTTCTGTGGGTGTGGCTTGGTGGGCATGTCATGGTTTGGTGGGCGTGGCAGGGGAAGGATACTGCAAAATTCCCACTTCCTCCCAATCAGCTGGGACTTGGGAGACAGAGAATAGATGGGGGTGGGGCCAGTCAGAATTTTTACTACCGGTTCTCCGAACTACTCAAAATTTCCACTACCGGTTCTCCAGAACTAGTCATAACCTGCTGAAACCCACCCCTAGTCCTCATTTTACTGACTTTGGAAGGATGGAAGGCTGAGTCAACTTTGAGCTGGTGAGAATCGAACTGCTGGCAGTCGACAGAATTAGCATGCAAATACTGCATTCTAACCACTGTGCCACCATGGCTCATGATCCACATCAATCATACCAGGAAGACAAAACTGAGTTGATATAGATAGCCTTTGCTTCTGAAACAACAGGGACAACCTCTTGTACACAAACTAAAATTTTTAGTTTTTTAGTTTTAGTTAGAAAAAACTAAAATGCAACATTGTTTTCATTCTTCCTATCCTTCTTGCATTATTACTGGAGAAGCATTAAGACATTTCCCAAAGACAAGACAAGAGGTTTAATATGATAGACTTGCAGGGCCAGCGCAACGAGCAACATGGTATCGATGTAATATAATATAATGTTACACACACACACACACATATATATATAGGTATATGGGAAAGTGTGTTAGTTATTACTTATTTGGGTTTAGGGATTCTATTTCTTTCATTTATTGAGTTATTGAGATGTATTTTGTGTTTCGGGGGAGCTGCACCTGGGAGGCTCATTCAATTTCATTGTACAGATGTTGTGCATTGACAATACAGGTTTAATTTGATTTGATTTGATGAGAAGAAATGAGGAGAGGGTGATACTGAAACAATAGCAGAAGTGGGTCCAAAAGATAGATAGATAGATAGATAGATAGAGAGAGAGAGAGAGAGAGAGAGAGAGAGAGAGAGAGAGAATAATTTAGAATATGATATGGATAGAATTTGCCTTTTCTGTTCAACAATATTGTGTGTTTGATTTGTAAACCATATTTAATGCATTAAGCCCATATAAATAATAAGGTATTACATCATCCCTATGTATTCTTATTTTTTTCCCCTTTCAAATTACAAATTAAACAGTACTGGTATCGGCATTGAAAGATACAAAAATCGACTGCAGTTTTACAAAAATTTTGAAAGAAAGTAAAGCATTGAAAAAGAAAGATTGATTTTCAAACTCAAGGCACCGAACCAACAAGGTTACAAACCAGAAGCACCTGAACATCACTCCCAATTATAAGTGTCCAGGAGTTATAAAAATCACTCAATGATATCTGAAGTTAACAAATTAGACTACAGAAGCGTAAACAGATTCACAATACTGCTTTATCCATTTTATTTCTAAAATAGCCTCTTAGACACTTAGTATTTCAGAATGGATGCCCTCAGGGTGACAAGAATCATAGGTTCTATTTCCTTTGCTTCATTAAAATTCTCTTTCATAACAAAAGCATCACAGAAAATGTTAGCAACATAAATATGCTCAAAAGTGAAAAGTTGTATAAAACAGTCTTAAAATGATGTCAAAGGATATTTAGATACACAACAAGCCTATCTTTTCAAAGTAAATGTTCCTAAGGGCACTAATCTGTATACTGACAAAATTCACAATGTTCTCAAACTCGTTCACACCTGAACTTTCATCATATTTCATAGCAATAACATATAAGGTAGCCCCTTCAAATCACAGATGGGAAAAATACTTCTATAGAGTATCTCAGATAAAAATGTTTTTAAAATTCCAGCCATTCCTACATTAATCTGGGATTTATTGCACTTGGGTTAACCAAACAAAGTTTATGTACTGTTATGGCTATTTTACACTTAAGCATGTTCTAACAATGTAAATGAGCAACACATTCATAATTTATCACGTTTCATTTGTACCTTGACATTTCTTTAAGGAGTTCAGACTGATATATAAAACCCCCATTGGCTTTTCTTAAGAAATGGATTTACAGTAGGCTAATATTCTCTATGCCAAATATAAGGTCATGGATTTATGGCATCTAATGCTTATTACTTGCTCCGCACATTGTTTTGCAAAGTCTGAAGTGGAAATTAATATACATTTAAGAATTCTTCAACTGATTATTAAGCATCCCTAATCGATAATGTAATTTAGCTAAATCCATATTGTATTATAAATACTGCTTGTTATACTCTGCTAACTAGAAACAGAAATTTACCTTTGACTTGGCATCACATTATAATACATTTTTTGCCTTGTCATCTGCATCCTATTGATCTCTTCTTTTCTTTAGTGAAACAAAAATGTTTTAGTTCCTTACTGTTAACAAAACTATTTTTTAATCCACACAGTTAAAATCTTTTAGGAAAACAATTAGTTTGAGGCTCACCCTAAAATAGTTCACCTGTCATAATGGGGTTATTTTCTTCTCCAATTGCTTTTTAAACAATTTAATTATGGAAAATTATTCAAGACTTAATACAGTTTGACATCCATAGCAGTTTGGCATCCATAAAGTAGAAGACAAAATTATTATTTCATTACAAAGATTTTAATCTATGTCCACAAAATGGATGAGATGAAATCATACAACAGACCAACAGACCAGAGTTTGGCTAAAGAATAATATTGGTTAAAGAAAGCTTCCCTTCTTTTATAAAGTAATGGAAAAAAAATTCTCAAAGATTGTGCTAAAAACAATAGGAATAAGCTATTTGTAGTGACCAATGGAAATAGCTTAAGGTGGATAGTTAAAGCTCACCTCGTTCACATCTATATTAAATATGGAGCATTTAAAAGTTTATATTACTTATTTTCTACAGCCAGTGTAATGGTTGGTTGTTTTAGGCATTTCCACCGTTCCCAGAAGGTCTATTTAAATTATTTTTTTGTTTCCTCTATATATTGAGAACACTACAGACAGAGCAGTTTTTTAAAAAAATATGCAATTAATTATCACTACAGTTAGTAACTGCACAATATTGAACAGTTTGATCCATCAAATCCTGACTTAATTCCTGAATTTATAATGAAATGAAAAATCTGGTTGAAATGTTTCTGAGCTGCAAAAAGTTAAAATGCATTAAATCTTTTTTCATTTTACAATGGCAGCTCTGGCGGAGATAGGCAGTTAATAGGAAAAACAAACAAATGCTATTGTAGTGTATCACTTCGAACTCCAAACGGCAAAAGGCGAGGGATGTAATATTAAAGGAAACAATGAGAAAGATTATTTAGTATATGGTTATACCAATTATTTATTTATTTCCATTTAATCTTGCTTTAAAAAAGAAAATATTGCCTTAAGTCCACAAGTCATAAAGTTGCCAAGTTTGAAGACCTGGGCTATAACATTTCAAAATAAACATACATAGGGATTAGGCTGTATATCCTATTAAAACCTGTTGTATCAGTTTTAAGCAAACATCCTTCAGACAAAATTGCCTGCCAATTTACCACTAATAATCTTCTGAATATCATAGTTTGATGTATAGGTTAAAAACAAATGTATAGAACCACTTCACTTTCAATGATAAATACATGATAAATGTTATGTTCCAACACCATAGCTTTTATTGTTAAGCTATGCATTGTGGGTCTGTACACTGAAGGGCTCTGTTTATTTCCTTACTCATGAAAAAGTTATAAATTAATCTGATATATGTTATCAGAAAATAATACATGATCTCAATATTCCATGGAAGTACATCAATATGGCTTTACCATGAACAAGCATACAAATTTAAGGACATAATCTCACATACACACAGAGAGAATGTAATCTATTGGAAGCCTTTCCTACACAACAATACTGAAGCTCCAGAGGAAAGCTTCCTCTACATAACTTCCACACAACTTAGCAGAGCATTTTGGAGAAAATAAATGTTGTTTGTAATATTTTGTAAAGTACTCTATACATGTTAAAATTGAACTTGCATAATCCTGATGAATTGGAGATTGCAAATCTAAATATAAAGGGGGGAAATCTGACTGTACCAAGCTAAAAATATTAAATTTACAGCATGGAGATCAGTTTTACTTTAAACCAAGAATGTTTTATTAGGAGAAGCACGTCACTTCTCTGTTTTTTGTTTGTTAATGCCACACAGAATGACTTGGGTGCATAGATAAAAGGGTGTCAGTAAATTAATACTAGTCCTCCATTTCTCCAATTGAAGCAAAGTGAAGCAGAAAACCTAAATGTAATAGCTGAGCTAATTTCACAATTACAGATTTAACTAGTTAATTTAACTAGCACTGAAGGCACACTTAAATTTTCCCATAAAAATACATTAGGATAAATAAGGGTTTCTAAAACAAAAAAGCAAAGATCCTTGTTTTCATTCCCATCTAGTTAATTCAGGTCTAGCTGCATTACTGCAAATATATTTCACAACAGTTTAAGGATACCCACCCCTTGCTGACAGCTTTTTAGTGTTGATAATTTTGGCAGCATATTCTTGTCCTGTAGTGATTTTCAGGCATCTTCTTACCACTGAAAACGCTCCCCTGGAAGTCAATAAACAAGAGTAACATAAATGCCAATTTGGGGTATGTGCTGCTTAACCATAATCTAATAATCTGAACAGCGTTAAGAAACAAGACAATAAATAAATATTTTTTGAGAAAAGATATTGCTTTAATTTGGGTTTGTTGCAGTGGATTTAAACGGTAAGGAAAAGGTATCTTCTTCAAATATATTGAATGCATGCACATACTCTTGTAAGTGGCTGTCTTAACCCCGGAATTGTGTAATTTTTTTCACACCCATTCTGTGTTTTTACTGTGCTTTGATTCAAAGGTGCCTGTGCATATATATTTTTGCAGGGTATAATGTTGTTACATTTTATCCATTTTCCTCCTTTTCTCGGATATAACAGACATAACACCCATTCTATATATTTAAGCTCAAGCCTCCAACGGAGTGGCCTGGATGCCATAAATCTCACTACCTGCAGTTTTAAGCACGAGCGTTCAATTGCAGAGCAAGCACGGAAATTAGGCTGCTCTCTATGACAGGCTCCCAACGCTAATCCCCCCGCCTGCCATTGGTCAAGCATTCTCAAGTCGTTTATATAACAGACTTTAGATAGCACCGAATTGACAGATTCTTTGTTTTGTTTTGTAAGGAAATACAGCAATAATAATAATAACAATAAACAGAAGCAGCAGCGAGAGAAGAAGCAAATGGTTTAACTCCGAATTGCACTCTTCTCTTCCTCTGAAGAAAATGCACCTTTGGGTTACATTTCCTGGTACTTAAACGTGGGTCAAGCCTCCCGCCGCCCACGTTGCTTTTCGACTGCCGTCGTTCGGACAGACGTCCGAATGGAAGCCACCCACGCTGCCCAAGGGCCGATTTCGTCATCGGCGGTTCTCTCAGGATCATGTGTCCCTTCCACTTTACAGAGAGGCGGGCAGGGTGGAAAAATCCCGCGTCAAAAATCACGCTCCCGACAAGACCGGCAGCTGCAAGAGGCTTACAGCCCCGTAAGCAACGCAGAGGAGACAGAGCGGGAAGATCTGCCAGGAGCGGATCGCACACGAGTCACACACACACACACACACAAACACGCCCTGCCGCCCGGGTTGAACTTTACGCGTCAATAACCGCGGCAGCTGCCCGGTCGGTAGCTTCACGCCGAGCAAAACGGGCGAAAAGCAGCCGAGCATCCGCGTTCCCTTCCCTCCGCCCGGCCACCAGCCCAGCTCAGCCACCCGCCGCTCAGGCTGCCGGCCCCCGAAGGGAGCGAGGAGGAGCTGCTGAAGAGCGCGCGGTTGTCCCCCCTTCGCGAGGGGGCGACCCAGGGACAGGGCTCGACCCCAGCGCAGCTCTTGGCTGGCGCGCCATTCCCCTCCCAGCTGTCAAAGCTCCTTCTCCACACGCCTCCCCCCCCCCCCCCGCCCCAAAGCCCCTCCAGTCGCCGCTGGCAAGGCGAGCCCCCCGGCGGGCTTTCGGCCACTTACTTTCCAAGCTCCTCAAAGAGCTGATACTCGTCGGTAAACCTGGTGCAGGTTGCGGTCGAAGCCATCCTCTCAGTCCGGCTCTTGCAGCCCCTGGGCGCTTCCGAGGAAGGAGAGAGGACGGCGGAGGGAAGGTGGATTCAAAGCAAAGGGGGAGGCGGTCAGGACGGAAGATGGGAGGGCAAAGGCGCTGCTTCTTCTTCTTCTTCTCCTCCTCCTCCGCCTCCTCTTTTCCTCGGGGCGAGTCTCTCAGTCACGCTCCTTCTTGGCAGCTTCTTGAGACTTTCCGGCTGGCTTGTTTGTTTGGGAGGTGAGCCGGAGGAGAGGCAGAGGCGGGCTTCTCCGCGAACTTCCCCCTCTCTCTCTCGACGCGCACGCTTCGGGGGTCTCTCCGGGAAGAGCCCTCCCTGGCTACGGAGAAGCTACACCATCCAAAATGGAAACCCGGAGCCGCCGAGAAAAGCCTCGCGCTTACGCGGGGGAAGCAGCAGCAGCCCTCGGGCGGATTTAACAGCAAGGAACGGGACGAAGCAGAGGCGGGGGAGGATGACAGCCTTGCCCCTGTGGCTCGGGCCACCTCCGATGCCGCCCCCCCTGTCAAAAGCGCCTCTTTCTATCCGGGAGTCCCCCGAAGCGCCCTTTTCCCGAGGGCTGCCTCGCCAGCGACGCCTCCGGGGACTGTCGCGCTCGATTCAAGGCAAGGGAAGCCCGATCGGCAGCTTGTCCTTCCTTCCTCCCTTCTCTCGCCCTCTCCAAGCAAGCCGTCCGCCTTGGCTGGTCCGGCGGCCGCTTCCTCTCCTTTCTCTCTATACCACACCTCCCTCTAGCGACGGGTGGGACGAGGCCCCTTTGCCGGGCTGGAGGAGAGCAAAGCAGCCGCCGATCTTCCCGGCTTTCCCTTTAGGTCTCTCTATATACCGACTGCGGAATGTAGTGTCCTATAGATCCTATAGGCGAGTTCCATGAGCGCCCCCTTCCTCTTTCCCTCCCTCCCTCCCCGATTCTTTGTTCCAAGGCGTGTGAATGAGCGACCGTGTGAACGCTTTTTTTTCCAAGGAAAAGACTTGGCGATAACGGGGCGGCTAAGGAAGACCGCCGGGCTACAGGCTCTTTTGCATTGGCTGCCTTTGCCGCAGGGCTTCGGCTTTTAGAAACGACTTTCAGCCCCAGTCGCTGAAGAGAATTTTCAGAAGCTCTTAGAAGCAGCCGATCCCAAGCGGGTTCCACTCCCCAGGCGGTAGGAGGGGAAGCGTCCCCGCCCCGTCCTTTTCCCTCTCCTCCGCGTTCCATTCCTCGGCGTCACAATCGACGCCAAGCCTCGTGCGCTCCATCCGGCCACTCTCGGCTTGGAAAGCCAAAAAAAAAAAAAAGGGAGGAGAGGAAAAGAGAGCGCCGCTTCTCCGGTTCTCGCGAGACAGCCCAGCTTATCTTTATGGAGGGGGGCGGCTTGAGCTGGGAATGGCGAGGAAGGAGGATGCGCGGCTGGAGGCGATCTTGGTTACCTGGGCGCTGCATTTTTTTAAATTTTTTTTAAATTGGAAGTCTTAATTTTTTTTTAAAAAAAAATAACAAGTTCTGCATTATGCTTTCATAGGGATAAGAGCGTGTCGGGATAAAGCGCATAGTCGGCATGCTAACATTTTTACACGCGGGGAAACCTCCCACTCGAAAGGATTCCGAGTCACGTCCTTAAAGCTTAGATTAGAAGGCTGTGATGATCCCGGTACTGTTTGATTTTAGACGCGACACGGTAAAAGCCTTCCGCATAATCCGTGCAAAAATGATTAGGGTGGAGATAATTTGTGGGGGATACACCTCGCCGTGTATGTCCATGAAAGCAAAGGACAAAGCGGGATTGGAACAAAGATAGGAGATTCCAGAGCCCTTCCGTTTGCCTGTAGATGTGATTTGGGCTCACGCCATTATCCATTGGTCAGCCAGATTTAAGATACTGTAATGCTTTTCAAACTTGCAATGTCTGCTCTTCGTTGAGGGAACCGGAGCCACAGTCGAAGGTATTCCACACTTCAGAAATTCCCACAGAAATTCCTCAGCCTCACCCAATTCATTCATCCTCTTTCCAACTGACGCTAATATTTTTGAATAAGGAATATGCTACTGGACTTACTTAATTTGTGGGAATTGCCTTTGAGTGATTATGACTAACTGTGGAGCTAATTATGATTTTTTTTAAAAAAAAAATTATACTAGAAACCCAAATCCTCCTGTTTGTATCTCAGTGCAGCTTGCAGGTTTCATTCCTGTTGAGGGGGGGTGTATATTTTCATAAATTATGGCAACTCTTCCTTCTGGCACTAAAGTCATGTTTCCTGGAGCCTTTCAATTGATAACAAAGCAAGATCATCTTAAAATTAAAAAAAAAATTCTTTAGATTCTACACATGGGTTCAAAATAAAGCCAATGAGGTTTACAGATATCAAGGGAAGGAACATTTTATTTACAGAAACAGAAAAAAATAACACCAATAAATATGAAATTATAAGAAAACTTCCATTTCAGAGCAGTGTACTGTAATTTTATTGTTTCAAGCAGTGTGTACATTTTATACAGAACTTATTTTTAGAACGTAATGATGACAGAACGAACGCATTTATCAAATTATGAGACTAATCATCAACTTAATGATAATTTTAGGGCTTGTATGAGGCATTGTTTAATATTGTGTTAAATTCTATGCGTGCTTATAATTAAAATATAGGAAAATATTGCAAACCATAAGCTACTACCTTATTTGTACAAGCAAATGTCCATGACTTTTGAATAATTTGTGTTAATTGGCAAAGAACATTCAGACTTATTATAATTTTATTTTGCATTTATGTTTTGTCTCCTCTTAGTCATTAGTACAAATGGTTACCAAAGAGAAGACACAATCCATAAATATTCAGAAAGGAAAGCTTTGCCAGGAATGTTTTTAGCAACTTTTACCAGATTAAAGTTGATAAAACACATTTGCTAATCTTGTTTTTATTGTCAAATGGATCCAGCCAACTCCAGAGAGTTAAGATAATTTCAATAAACTGTCTGATCATTAGGTATGTGCAGTGTAAACAAAAAATTTAAAAACTGTAGAAAAAATATAAATGAGAAATACTATTACAAAAAATAACCATACATAAAATGTTTAAATTCAATAAAGTCCCCAAAATCCTGAGAACTAAGTTGCTTGCAATAGTTGTGGAATGAAATAGCTTCTGCTAAAAGATTTCTTCTCTTATCTGAGGATGGTAGTAGAATATAATGTGAATGAGATGAAATGCTTTGAAATGTCTCAAAGAAACTTAGGCACTGGGTAAGTGAGAAGCATTTTAAATGCCTCCTCAAAGGCCTCACATCTTTACTTCTCACTGTAGTCTAAAATGAAACAATATGATTGTAATCATAATTCAGTGTTGCCTGCTAAAATGCAGTGCTTCAAATAACCTCAGTTCTCAGAATACAGTAAGTAAAACATCAGATTTTATAGTATGTATCCAGAATGAATCCCTCCAAAGTGAAGATTTGTGTATTTTATGTAAGCATCAAAATTTTATCTCTGGGCTTTATTTTATAAAGCTCGACTAAAAAGACTTGTGTCTGCAAATATAACTCCAATCTAAGTTTGTATGGCCCTAAATATAATCAAGGGCACTAAATTACAGAAATTACCAGTTTGGTGGCATAGGTTAAAAAAAAATTCCTTTAACTTTTATTGCTGGTTATCTCTGGAATTAACAATTATTTGTTAATCTATTGCTTGTTATTGCTGGGATTAACAACTTTGATATTTATAGCAATATTTACAAATGATTTATGAATATTATCCTGTATTAGGTTTATGACTTTTCTTGTTCTTTATGTAGCATCATAAATTCAGGCATTGATCAACATGTCAAAGAAGTGGGTGGCTGTATTAAATCATCATCATCATCATCACTTTCAAGGGTAAATTTGTACAATTGGGAATGTCAAATAGCATATCGCAGTGTTCGTAAATATTTTCCTAATGTGTTGAACATCATAACTATATATTAAAAAAATAATTTTAAATCCAAATTTATCTCCTTTAAAATCGGAAGTCATTAGATTTTATTTTTGTTTGATTGTTCTGGCTTTATCAATTTCAGATAAGCGTGTGCTGTATGGCAGTGGCCATAGGTTGAGTTTTAGGCTAATTCACACTTGCTACTAATGCCATAATTGTAACCTACATATCTGGTTGAAAATATTGGAAAAAGGGATGCAATTACTGTGTTAGTACATACAATCCTGGGGATTAGTCAACATTTAGATCACCATTGACATCTCTCTGTAAAGCTAAGAATCTCATTTTCTGAAGTTAATCCAGATTTTATAATCTCAAAATAAAATAAAACTAAAATAAAACGCTGGAGTATCACTTGTTAACATGTATGTATAACTTTTCATTGGGAATCCCGGTAAACCCTAAAGGAGGCTCCAAATTCAGGGAACTTGAAGAGGAAAACATCTCCTAACAGATAATAGCAATAGATATATATACTGCTTTATAGTGCTTTACAGCCCTCTAAGCAGCTTCAGAGTCAGTTTACAGACTGCCCCCACAATCTGGGTCTCATTTTCCAATCTCAGAAGGATGGAAGGCTGAGTCAACCTTGAGCCATGAGAATTGAACTGCTGGCAGCTGACAGAATTAGCCTGCAATACTGCATTGTAACCACTGCGCTGCCACAGCTCTTCCATAATGTTGGAATTGGGTATGCCAGAAGTTGACTTGCTCACAAATGCCAGCAATAGACAGTTATCTGTAGAGTCAGGTAGTGGATAATACATGATGATGTCATCACACAAACAATGCAAATTATGAGCTTTCATTAAACATATACAGAAATATGGCCTGATTTATGACCTGATGCACGTAGTATTTTAACATAATTGTGGCTTGTAGAGAATTATGCACAAGCCCAATGTTATATCTGTTCCAGAACAGCAGAACAGAGGTCCTATGTGCTCCATCATATCTATATCCTTAATCCAATGTTCACATTGCCACTGATCATAATAGTATCAAGGCTTGATAAAGCAGCCATGAGTCTAGATCAAGGGTGTCATACTCAAGGCCAGTGGGCCAGATCCAGCCCATGGGGTGCTTAGATCTGCTCCATGGGGCCACTCTGGAAACAGCACAGGACTGGCTTGTAGTGCCTCTGCCAGAAAGAACGGAGCTCGGGAGGGCTCTCCCGGGCTCTGTTTTTGCTGGCAGAGGGCTAGTAAAACTTACTAAGAGAAACGTTTTCCCTTCTGCATTTGAGCATGCAAGAAGGGAGGAAAGGAGAAAAGGAAAGAGGAAAGTTGGGAAGAGAACAAGGAAGGAAAAATAAGGAAAGGAGAAGGAAGAAGAAAGGACAATGAGGGAAGGAAAAAGAAAAGGAAGAAAGGAAGGAAGATTATAATGAGAGTGAGGGAGGGTCTGAGGAAGACCTGCCTTAGTACTTGGCCACCATAAGATCCCCCGACATGAGTGACGTCGAGCTGGCCATGCCCACCACGGCCAACACAGCCACGCCCCAAGGTCAAACACAACCCTGATGTGGCCCTCAATGAAATTGAGTTTGACACCCCTGGTCTAGATTATCTGGATAGCATTCCTCCTAGAGACTGATTCTCCAGAAAGATGTGCAGGGCATTCTGAGCTATCACCTCTTGAAGAGTGGGCCATCGGACATACAGTACTGGACATAATCCAAGTCTCAAGATGCCCATCTACATCTAATTGCTGCGGGTAGTTGCAAGCTGTCTCTCCAAATGGTCAAGATTACAATGCAGCACTTCTGCCTGTTCATTAAAATCCCTTGGCAGTGGTCAAGCTACAATAAAGCTGAATGGAGTTTATGAATATTAAATCAGTATGACTCATGATGTTTGCAAATAATCCCAACAGCATTTTTTATAGCAAAAGTACCATATCATCTATATGTACTTGCTTGCTTTTTCTGTTTAAACATAGCACAAAATTGTGCTTAGGCTTTTTTTCCTCTAATTTCCTTCTAATTTCCAAAATGAAAAATGCCTATCGCCAAGAAAGAAGCAAAATGCTTGTGATTTAATGCTTTAGGAAGGAAGGCTACATTTCTGTAGTATTTCTTTCTACAGTAGTCATGATATATTCTAGGCATAATTAGATTGTTGACACAAGGATTTTTTTTTAAATCCCAATTTTTCTATATAATTGGCAGATAAGTTTAAGACTTCAATTTTAATTAATTCTCTGTTTCATAGCCGTATATATTATAATTTTAGTTTTTTGGTAATAGTTAACATGTTAATTATAGCTGGAAAGTTATTTGTAAATGTTCAACTAG